ATCGTGCTTCCAACATCCACGACATTCCTCTCACAACCGAAGTCAGCTCCTATCCAACTGAATACAGCTACGAGAAGCTGCCAGAACACGTTATTCCAGTTGTTGTTGAAGAATCCGAGAAGAAGGATGAGCCATCGTTGAAGTCCAAGATCACTGGATTGTTCAAGAAGTCACCATCTCATCTTGACTATCCAATCTCGGAACAATACGAAGGACCACTCGATTCAACTCATCGTGCTTCCAACATCCACGACATTCCTCTCACAACCGAAGTCAGCTCCTATCCAACTGAATACAGCTACGAGAAGCTGCCAGAACACGTTATTCCAGTTGTTGTTGAAGAATCCGAGAAGAAGGATGAGCCATCGTTGAAGTCCAAGATCACTGGATTGTTCAAGAAGTCACCATCTCATCTTGACTATCCAATCTCGGAACAATACGAAGGACCACTCGATTCAACTCATCGTGCTTCCAACATCCACGACATTCCTCTCACAACCGAAGTCAGCTCCTATCCAACTGAATTCGGTTACGAGAAGCTGCCAGAACACGTTATTCCAGTTGTTGTTGAAGAATCCGAGAAGAAGGATGAACAGTCATTGAAGTCCAAGATCACTGGATTGTTCAAGAAGTCACCATCTCATCTTGACTATCCATTATCCGATCAATACGAAGGACCACTCGATTCAACTCATCGTGCTTCCAACATCCACGACATTCCTCTCACAACCGAAGTCAGCTCCTATCCAACGGAATTCAGCTACGAGAAGCTGCCAGAACACGTTATTCCAGTTGTTGTTGAAGAATCCGAGAAGAAGGATGAACAGTCATTGAAGTCCAAGATCACTGGATTGTTCAAGAAGTCACCATCTCATCTTGACTATCCAGTATCCGATCAATACGAAGGACCACTCGATTCAACTCATCGTGCTTCCAACATCCACGACATTCCTCTCACAACCGAAGTCAGCTCCTATCCAACGGAATTCAGCTACGAGAAGCTGCCAGAACACATAGTTCCAGTTGTTGTTGAAGAATCCGAGAAGAAGGATGAGCCACGTTGAAGTCCAAGATCACTGGATTGTTCAAGAAGTCACCATCTCATCTTGACTATCCAATCTCGGAACAATACGAAGGACCACTCGATTCAACTCATCGTGCTTCCAACATCCACGACATTCCTCTCACAACCGAAGTCAGCTCCTATCCAACGGAATTCAGCTACGAGAAGCTGCCAGAACACGTTGTTCCAGTTGTTGTTGAAGAATCCGAGAAGAAGGATGAGCCATCGTTGAAGTCCAAGATCGCTGGATTGTTCAAGAAGTCACCATCTCATCTTGACTATCCAATCTCGGAACAATACGAAGGACCACTCGATTCAACTCATCGTGCTTCCAACATCCACGACATTCCTCTCACAACCGAAGTCAGCTCCTATCCAACTGAATACAGCTACGAGAAGCTGCCAGAACACGTTATTCCAGTTGTTGTTGAAGAATCCGAAAGAAGGATGAGCCATCGTTGAAGTCCAAGATCACTGGATTGTTCAAGAAGTCACCATCTCATCTTGACTATCCAATCTCGGACCAATACGAAGGACCACTCGATTCAACTCATCGTGCTTCCAACATCCACGACATTCCTCTCACAACCGAAGTCAGCTCCTATCCAACGGAATTCAGCTACGAGAAGCTGCCAGAACACGTTATTCCAGTTGTTGTTGAAGAATCCGAGAAGAAGGATGAGCCATCGTTGAAGTCCAAGATCACTGGATTGTTCAAGAAGTCACCATCTCATCTTGACTATCCAATCTCGGAACAATACGAAGGACCACTCGATTCAACTCATCGTGCTTCCAACATCCACGACATTCCTCTCACAACCGAAGTCAGCTCCTATCCAACTGAATTCAGCTACGAGAAGCTGCCAGAACACGTTATTCCAGTTGTTGTTGAAGAATCCGAGAAGAAGGATGAACAGTCATTGAAGTCCAAGATCACTGGATTGTTCAAGAAGTCACCATCTCATCTTGACTATCCAGTATCCGATCAATACGAAGGACCACTCGATTCAACTCATCGCGCTTCCAACATCCACGACATTCCTCTCACAACCGAAGTCAGCTCCTATCCAACTGAATACAGCTACGAGAAGCTGCCAGAACACGTTATTCCAGTTGTTGTTGAAGAATCCGAGAAGAAGGATGAGCCATCGTTGAAGTCCAAGATCACTGGATTGTTCAAGAAGTCACCATCTCATCTTGACTATCCAATCTCGGAACAATACGAAGGACCACTCGATTCAACTCATCGTGCTTCCAACATCCACGACATTCCTCTCACAACCGAAGTCAGCTCCTATCCAACTGAATACAGCTACGAGAAGCTGCCAGAACACGTATTCCAGTTGTTG